ACATCGTGGTCCCACTTCCACGTTCCTGGGGAGGGACCCTGGGCTGGTTTCGGTCGTGCCTTGGAATCTAGTTCACAGTTGCGTGAACCAGGTTGTGTCTGTAAACTGAGACATTTCCCAGAAAAGTTGGACAAACTGCAGGCTTAACAGTAAACCTCATGCTACCTCGAATAGTCCTTAAGCATTTGATTAGCAGTGTTAGATTTTTTTCTTAGCATGCAGGGTGGCTTTGAAGAATGGTTGGGATGTTCCAGGGATGGGATGGTGAAGCACATGGAAGTTGTTTGCTGGTGACTGGTTGGATTCGCTCATTCCATGTCTGTTTCTGTAATTGGCAAAGCGTTTTCAAGAGAATCGATTGACTCAACGTTTTCTCCTTTACCTCTTCCTTGCGCGTCCATTTATTCAAAACTGGATTCGTGTCAGATAAAGGCTGTCTGGGAAAAAATACATCTGTTACAGTGCTTCACACTGACAGGAAAGCCATAAAAGTCATTACTGGGTGATTAGAACCTTCAAAAGGATCTGTGAAATGCAACCTTCCTCCTAAAATTATACAGACGGCAGCATGTCCTCTCTCTCTGTTGTCTTGTGTATTTAGACAGGTGCGGGAACCCCACATCTAGGTGTAATGACAGTGAGAAGTGAAGGCTGGGATTAATTAGAGCTGAAATACTGAACAACAATAGGCCAGGTGCCCAGGGAGGGGCAGATAGAGATATGTGTGTATATGTATATGGGCACGAGGTCAGCAGGCATCATTGGGATGCTCGAGCCATGGTGTGGGCTGTGAAGGGCTTTGTGGGGGACAGAGTCGATAGACTCAGCCCCGAAATCTGGGCAGTTTACGGTCTGCCCTGGGGGGAGAGACGCCATCTGTGCCGGCCCAGTGCAGGCACACCGGCTCTGCGGGGTGCTTGGGATACTAAGCGGGGAGCTGTGTGAGCGTCTGACACGCAGCCTCTCAGACCTCTCACTGTTTAGAATATGGTGTATTAATAGGAAACACGAGGTATAGTGAAGCCAGTGGATCCAGAGACAACTGCCACTGACAAGAGAGTTAGTCGCTCCCAGCTCCCAGGGGAGGGGGCCACACGGGGAAGCCCCAGGGCTGTCAGGAGGCAGAGGGAGTGCCGGGGGGATCTGGGGGAAGGAGCCTGTATTGTAGAAGGAGCCTGTATCTCGGAGGCACGGGTGAGGCAGGGTGAGCGGGTTTAGGAGCAGCTCATTTGAATAATCTCAGGGGCTCCGGGGTGTGAGGTCACCCCTGGTGTCTGGCGCCCGGGTGATTAGGGCAGGTGGAAGGTGGCCTGCTGAGAGCAGTGGAGGTGGTGGCGAGGGCCCTGCACTGGTGGGTTGGATGGGCAAGGCGAGTTCAGGATTTGGCCAGTCCTGGGAGGGGCAGCCCCTGCAGCCTGAGCGTGGGCTCAGGTGTCAAAGCATCAGAATCCAGACAGGACAAGATGCGGTTAATGCCCCTACAGAGACTTAAGCTCTTCTCTTTTGTGCCCTGATAGCATCACAGGCGAGTCTTCAGGTGGGCACCTTCAGCACGTCTGTCAGGGACACACGGAGCCTCCAGGCAGCTCACCGATGCCAGAGGGGGTGTCTCAGGTGTAAACGTCAAGGACTTCAGCGGGGGCGGGGCGGCAGGGCAGGGGGAGGCTCTGAAAAGGCTGGTGTGGTTTTCAGGACGGCTTGTGGGAAACGGCGGTGTTAGCTCCAGATACGCCAGGACGATGACGTGATGGCACATCTGATGTCAGAGAGCCACCCAGTCAGGGAAGGAGGGGGAGGTGTTGACCGCTTGGCCTGCTTTGGACGTGCAGGTGGGACGTCTGCGGGGTGCGTGTGTAGTTAGGATTTTGTGTATCTGAACGACGGCGGATCCAAAGAAATATGGGTGGTGGGCCGGGGGGGTGTCAGACTGGCAAGTTTTGGGGCTGTCAGAGGTCGAAAAATATGGGGAAGGAGGGACATTCCATCTTGAATAAATACCAATGCACGTGGAAGAGGATGTTATATACACAGTCGGTGCTCGGCTCCGAGCTCATGTCTACCCCAAGCGCTCGTACAGCCCTCTTGTGAGAACTTACTCGGGAGCTAGTTCACGTGTGGGCCGTTCTCACTGAGCAGCGTCCTGAGCAGGTGGGTTCAGAGCCTTGCGGTCCCGTCTGCATCCCTTGCTCACCTGCAAGGGAAGCTGTGCCCCTGCCCCGCCCCCGCAGTGCTCTCCGCCTCTTTATGTACATGGTAGTTGCTGTTGCCTAATTTCCTTCTAGTTCTCCGGTCTCTGCTGATTGGTTCTCAGTATTTTTCTTTCCTATACTTTATGCTTTTATTAAGTTTGTTAATGATTTTTCTTGTTTTCCTTATGAGATTCTCTAGTTTATTATGACTAGTTAACCAGCCTCTTGCTCTAATTGATTCTCCCAGGAAGAAATGGCATAAATCATAGTTACGCTTTGGACTAGAAACTAGTATATCTAGAACTTTCATAGTTTAACGCCCTTTCCTTGGATGTGTACCTCTTCTTTGACATCATTTCTTTCTTCTGGCACCCTGGGAAATTTTTAGTTTATTTTTATGCATATAAAGATTCTCTCGTCACCACCTGGTCCCTTTCTTATTCTTAATAATCATGCGATGTTTAAGGACGGGGTGGGAGACAGTGCCCATGTCTCCCTATCGTCAGCATATGTGTACTTTAAGAAAAACAATTTTAGGAACGGATGTAGAATTACGGCTAACATCCCTGAGATGAACCAGACTCTTAACAGTTCCTTCGGGTGCCCGACTTCCCCAAGCTAGTCCCCCAGATAGGACTCAGATATTCTCCCGTCAGTGATGTGGCTTTGGGACATCCCACTCTGATGCTCTGGATGGGTGTGGGGAATGGGATGGCCTTGGAAGGCCAGTGACAGCATCATGAGGCCTGTTAAACCCACCCTGCCCAGTGGACACTGCAGTGTCTGCACAGAAGGAGGCCCAGCAGGTTTTCAGTGGAAAGGGTCAGGGGCTCCTTCACATTTCTTCCAGTTTCTAGATAGTTCCAGTCTCTTCTCCTTTGGTAGCTCTCAGTCTCCCACTTGAATTTATGGAGGTGTTAGACGTCAGCATCGGGCCGGTACACAGTCGGTGCTCAGTGTTTGATGGATCCACGGCTATTGAGGTTACGTGCAGCTCTACCTTCCTTGTTTTGTTCTTCTTAAGTTGAGGCATAGTTGTTTTACAGTGTTGTGTTAGTTTCTGCTGGGCAGCGAAATGATGTGGAGTTCCCTGTGCTCCACAGCACGTTGTTACTAGTTATCTGTTGTACACATAACAGTGTATATATGTTCTTAGACATAATTTTAATGTAGATATTGTTTTCCGTCTTCTGTGGTTCAGCCTTATTTTCAACCAGTGAACTGTTCCTTTTTTATTGTTGTAATCAGCGTCAGAATTAACATCATAACATATGAGATATAATAAAATTAATATAATCAGTCACATTGTTTGAGTGTCCCTATATGCCAGGCCCTGTTCTAAGTGGTTTATTATGTAATAACGCATTAAGTCCTCCCTCCGTGAGGTAGGTCCCGTTGTGATCCCCGTTTTGTGGGGAGGAAAGGAAGGCATGGAGGGGTGAAGTGATGTACCGCAGGCTGTGCACCTAGGTTGGTGGATAAAGCAGTGTTTGGGTTGGAAGATGCGGCCGGTGTGCTCAGCCAGCACCTTAGTGGGCAAGAGGCAGAAATAGTCGATAAAAACACTGGCCAGTCGAGCAGCACTTTTCCCCTACAGCTGCCCCCGACTTTCGCCCTCTGCTAGAGCCCTGTGAGATAGCCCCTGTCCACCCTTCTGATTTCAGCTCAGCAGTCACGTCCACAGAGAGGCTGCCCAGGGTCCCCCAGGGGGTTTCATAACCTGAGCCCACTGACCTGTGCGGTTGGACCGATGTCTCATTTCCACGGGGGGTGGGGGGTGGGGCTTGTCTGTTTCACTCACCACGGGGTCCTCGTCACCTTGCACACTGCCCGGTGTCAGGTCAGTGCTCAGCAGGTGTTTATGGGATGTGTGAACAGAGGTAATGGAGAAGGGAGGAAGGAAAGAAAGATTTACCATGTGCCTCGCTAGTTCCGGGTTCTTGAGGTGAGCCGTTGTACCAGTTGGGAATAAATTTAATTCAGTAACAGAACACCCAGCAACAGTGACTTCAACAAGGTATTATTTGTCTCATGTAACGAGAATTGCAGATCGAGGCTGCGGGGCCGGGTTGATTGCTCAGACGCCACCAGGCTCCTTGGCTTTTCTGGGTTGCTGCTCCTGTGAATTGGGCCTTGTGGGCACCCTCTCAGGGTGACAGTGTGTCCCAGTCATTGGGTTTTCTCCTGCCGTAGGGGGCAGTAGATTTGCTGCATAGGTGGTAGGCTTGAAATTCTATATACCTCCTTAAACGAAAAGTTGAGATGTCATTGGATGTATAATGTACTTTTTGAGGAGAGAAGTGGATTGAATTCCCAGAATAATGGGGAAGGCTTTCCTGAGTGTCTGCTGACCCTTCGCCCAGGTAGGTGGGCTCTGTCCTGCTCCCTCCTTTGCAGCCCAGGTTCGGCCTTTCCCGTGTCCTAGTCTGTAAGCTCTGCCTATGGTTTTGGGCTGTTGTGTCCTTTCCTCTCTTAGTACGAGTGGGCTTGTGCCTTTCCTCTCTGTCATTTCAGCAGAGTGGGGGAAAGGTAAAAATGCACGTATTCAGTCACTAATGCTTAACTGGAAATCTTGCGTACATCCTTTTTCTATAAAAGTAGGATTGTGCTGTCCATATATCTTTGAAATCTATGGCATTCGTGTAAGTACTTCGACATCTGTTGCATATTGAGCTGATCCTCTCACATAGAAATGATAGGATGATGCAGATTCCTGGAAAAGTCAGTTTTCCAGGGAGTTGAAACTCTAGGCTTGTTAAAATGTGAGTATGAGCTTTTAAAACTGCCTTTTTAATTTTCAGATCGTGAGCCATGCCTTTAGTGAAGAGGAACATCGAACCCCGGCACTTGTGCCGGGGAGCCCTGCCCGAGGGCATCCCCAGTGAACTCGAGTGTGTGACCAACAGCACCCTGGCTGCCATCATACGCCAGCTGAGCAGTCTGAGTGAGTGTCTTGCCTCGGGACTCCTTTCTTCTGATTACCAGTGACATATTTTAACAAATTAGCAAATTGATTTCAATTCAATAGTTATGTGATTGTCCAGAGAAGAGGCTGCAGCTTTGAAGGAGAGAGCCTCCCTCCCTCCCACCCTCCCTCTTGAATTTCCCAGCGTGCAGTCAGCTGTGGCCCCCTCACTGGTCTGGTGATACCAGCTTCGTGTGATGAAGTTAGCATTGACCAGTTCACAAGTCACTAGTACCACCAAATGTGTAGATTTAAAGTAGTGTTCATTTTTAAAAGCTTATTAAAAATGAGGATAAAATAATCGGCATTTTCAAAAACATGAATTATGCATTAAACTTGGACAGGACTAATTGTTTTTCAGTGTAACGAATTGAAAACTAGGTCACACCTGTGATATGCCCGGCGTTAGAATAGAGGCTCAATACATGTTTGTTGATTGAATAATATTCCAAATGAATCAAAGAATCAAGCCCCAAGCTAGTGAGACTTGCTGATTTTAACCTACTAAAGGTTAAAATGCAGGTATTGACTTCCAGATTGAGGTCAGCAGATGAGTTGATGTATGCAGTGCCATGTACACGTTACATACACAGATTATAGAAATGTAAGCAAACACAAGCGTAAGGAAGAGAGGACTTCCTGTTACTCTAACTTTGAACATTAATATGAAATATACCCAAGAAATATTCCATTTCTTAAGACTCACATATGCATGAAAATGCTTCTCCTTCAAAGCTTTTGGAAGCTGCAGTCTTTCTCCCTAACTCTTACATTTACATCGTGATCTTATTTTCTCACTTCGTCCCACTCCTTTTCGGTTTAGATGGTTCACACTGCATTTTGGATGACAGGTTTTCACAGTTAAATTTTCAGAACCCCTGTTAATAACGAGAAAATCCTCCATGAAATTTCACATCCTGGCCGCGTCAAGCAGGGGAGAGTGGTTTGAAAAACAACTCAAGTGCTTTTATTTGTTTTGAAGGAGAAACACTATGGAAGAGTATTTTTTTTTTCTTTGAAAGAATAATTGTAGTGCATCGTTATTGATATATTTTTGATATATTATGTCTATAATCATTGGCTAAACAAAAGTAATTTGGAAATTGCTTAAAATGTGCTTCAAAATAGATTTCTTCTGGAATCTGAACTAATTATAATTGATTTTTGGTAGTGGTGGTGGGTAAAATGTATAAATTCATATAATTACAGGAGGATACCTTGTAAATCATTGAAGGGTGAAAGTATTTCTGTGTGCATTCACATATCTCCATAAGAATGTTGTTTCAGTCTCCTGTTTTCTTATGGCTGAAACGTCTATTGGCATAAGGTCTAAGTGATGAAAGCCAACATGAACTGTTAAGGTTTTAATAATCACACCGTGCCTCGTGCACAGTGTTACATCAGAGGTGCCTGCTTGGCCACAGTCTCTTCTAAGTGAAACTACCCACGGGGTACGTTTTGTTCTGTAGAGTCCGTGTGTAGGCACAATGATCACAGCCCCTCTGAGGATGTCTGCATCCTCACCCTGGGAACCTGCAGATGTGCTGTGTGACTGGGCAAGGGGAGGATTAAGGCTGCTCGTCAGCTCACCTCACGAGAAGGAGGTTATCCTGGGCTGTCTGGTGGGCCCCGTGTAATCCTGGGGGTCCTTTAAGTGGGAGAAAGGAGTGTCAGAGTGATAGGATGTGAGAAGGATCCATCAACCGTTGCTGGCTCCAAAGACAGGAAAAGAGGCCACGAGCCGAGGAGTGCAGGTGGCCTCTGTACATTGCACAAGGCCGGGAACTGGACTTTCCCCTGGGGCCTCCAAGGGAACAGAGCTCTGCCAGCACCTGGATTTCAGCCCAGTGGTAACATTTCACACGTCTGATCTCTAGAGCTGTAAGGTGGTAATTTTGTGTTGTTTTAATCCACTAAAGTTGTGAAAATTTGTTACAGCAGCAGTAGGAAACAGTGCACCACTGGAGCCGTGGTGACGTTTTGTACACACATCCTGCTCTAGCCTCATGAGTGGACCAGGCATGGGTCCTGGCCTCAAGCACAGTCCAACCCCAGTCAGCCTGCTTCAGCCCCGATTCTCTGCTAGAATCACTGGGGGAGCTTGAACAGAAGATGCTAGGAATCACTGCAGGGATTGTGATCGGGGTGACCTACGAAGTCAGATGCTGCGTGTCTGGATCGAAAAGCCTGTCTGGGCCAGTTGTGTTCTGTCGGGAAGTTTGAACTAAGACACAGCGCGTGTGCTCGTTTATGGTGGGATCTACCGCTGGGGTGTCGCCCAGGACCGAGAGGTCCCGGTGGCCATCGCAGGCCTGCGTGGTTATTGCGGGGGGTGGAGGGAGGCCGCAAAGAGCTAGAGGAAGCCAGCGGGCGAAGAAAGGCAGGAGGGCGCGGGGAGAGAAACAGGCACTGGGCACGAGCGAGGCCCCGGGCCGGCGAGGCAGGAGGGTTGCACTGATGGCCCTGCGCCCGGTCAAGGAGCCGCGTGGCCGGTTCACGGCAGACCCTCACAGGTGCCCAGGGAGGACGGGGGCGCGAGAGCCAAGGGTGCAACTTCAGAAAACGAGGATGGTTGTTAATTGGTGGTGGAGCAGCAAATTACTGATAACCAGTGATTTATTTATTCCTGTTTATTCACTCGGTGCTCCTCTAGGTGCAGCATACAGCAAATAAAGTCAACTGGGTCCCTACTTAGAAGTTACAAAAGCATATGTAATGGACGTCAATATGGTCATACAGTAGGCAACATGCAATTATGACCTGCCATAAACTCTTGCACATGACGAGTGACGTCTACATTTTGGGTGAATCTTTAGTTTTTGTAGGTTTTTTTTTCCCACTGTGTGGAAATACAGGAGATGAGGAAAGGTATATGCAAAAATATTTTTATGATCTAAAATTGTTAAGGAAAATAAGAATTTAAAAGAATGTTTATAAATCGATAAAACAATGTTTTTTTCTTTTTTTTTCCTGGACATAAATAGATTTCTTTTTTAAAAATTTTTATTGGAGTATAGTTGCTTTACAATGCTGTGTTACTTTCTGCTGTACAGCCAAGTAAATAAGCCATACATACACATATATCCCCTCCTTTTGGATTTCCTTCCCACTTAGGTCACCACAGAGCACTGAGTAGAGCTTTTGTGTTGTTTTCTAATTTTCTAATCATTCATCAGTTATTTTTAAAGTGAAGTTTTAGGAAAGTATGAGTCTGTCATATTAAAATTCGTCTATTACTGAGGATGAATTTTCAAAATAAAGTCAAAACAGAGTCTATTTTTTTATTCCTTTGAGTTTCTGACCGTCATTCAATAGGATCCTGCCCACCCTGCCCCCAGCGCCTCCACTCCCAGATTAGGACAGGTGATGTACAGTCATCTGAACTTCCTATAAGTGATACAGAGGGAGGCTAGACTTTGTCTACAAAGGCCATCTTGGGGGAATCCCAAGGGGAACTTCAGGGATTTGCCTTGATCCTAGAGTGGTCATACCTGCCTGAGCAGCAGACTTGTCCTCCTGCCGTGATCCAGAGTAACTAATTCTCTAGTGGGTCTAAGGAAGGAAGAACAGACCAAGGGGCCAGAAGGAATTTCTTTGGTCTTTTCCAAAAAGGAAGACTAGCAATTGAGGGCCCGATTCACCAGATCATTCTGATTCTCATCACATCTGTGGGGGAACAGTTCAGGGTGATGAGGGTTTAAATAACTTAACATCAAACAAGAGAACCTGGTCCTGGTACCAGATAGGCCTTTGAAGCCCCAGTGACTCTACGTAACTTTGGGGAAATCTTTAGGTTTTTACCAGTTACAGTGCTCCCACTACATCCAAACTAGACACTTGACTTTAAAGGGCCAGAAATTTTGTCAGAACTAGATATTTCCCAGGCTTTTCAGGGAATTGCTTCTTTTCAAGGAAAAAATACTGCTTATTGGTATTGAGTATAAGAACAGTCATAGAAATGAGGAAGAGGAAATTTGTAACTTGAACAGCCTTATAATTAGAGAATAAGTATCAAAAGCTTTCAAAGCTTTGTCCAATAAAATAAAAAATTAGTGTTTAGTAGTTTTCAGATTTTTTTCCTTTGAGTGTTACTAACTTCTAATATGAATGATGGTGTGGGGAGGGGAGTGGGAGGGAGAAGGAAAGCCACTTTTTGAAGTGGTCTTGGTTAATCGTGTGTTACTTGGCCTGTTGGCCATCTGTATGTGTTTTATGGAACAATGTCTGTTCAGGTCTTCTGCCCATTTTTTGATTGGTTTGGTTGGTTGTTTTGATATTGAATTGTATGAGCTGTCTGTATATTTTGGATAATAATCCCTTGTCAGTCATATCATTTGTAAATATTTTCTCTCACTCCATAGATTGTCTCTTCATTTTGTCAGTGGTTTCTTTGGCTGTGCAGAAGCTTCTAAGTTTAATTAGGTCCCATTTGTTTATTTTTGCTTTTGTTTCTTTTGCCTTAGGAGACAGATAAAAAAATTGCTGTGATTTATGTCAAAGAGTATTCTGCCTATGTTCTCTTCTAGGAGTTTTATGGTTTCACATCTTACAATTAGGTCTTTAATCCATTTTGAGTTTATTTTTGTATATGGTGTGAGGAAATGTTCTAATTTCATTCTTTTACATGCAGCTGTCCAGTTTTCCCAGCACCACTTGTTGAAGAGACTGTCTTCTCTGCATTGTATATTCTTGCTTCCTTTGTTGTAGATGAACTGACCATAAGTGTGTGGGTTTATTTCTGGGCTGTTTATTGTGTTCCATTGAGCTGTGTGTTTATTTTTGTGCTGGTACCATGCAGTTTTGATTACTGTAGCTTTGTAGTATAGTCTGAAGTCTGGGAGGGTGATATACCCAGCTTTTCTAATTATTAGAGAAATGCAAATCAAAACAATGAGATATCACCTCACACTTATCAGAATGGCCATCATCAAAAAGTCTACAAATAACAAATGTCAGTGAGGATATGTACACTGTTGTGG